TTTAAATAATGACAGAAGTAAAGAAGAAAATATTTTTAAAGGCCGTTAAATATAAAGGAATTGTTACAGAATAGACCCAATGTCATTTTAATCTTTATTTAGTAATTTAAACTTCGTTTAACACAACGGTGGAATCGGCCCTTACACAACTCAAAGTCTGCTAATTATATTCAAAATACCGTACGTTTACCGTACTTTTTATGTAAATACCGTACTTTTATCCTACATCCACAGAAACAACAACTGCGCGTGCACAGAACACTTACTCTTGCGCGCGTGCGTGGTATATATCACTAAGGGTCGATTCCACCCACTGAACTCTATACTGTTATAATGGAACGCTATTCCTAATAACAAAAAGTGTGCCGTTTTGATTTCGCGCATTACGTCACTTAAAGTTAATACTCATGCGCAGTAAATAGCTTTCATAGCCGATTCACAGCCGATTACCAGCTCCATTACGTTAGGGTCAGGGCCGGCTTTATTTATTAAATTAATTTATACATTTTGATGTACATCTAAAATAAAGTTTTTGAAAATAGCTGACTCGTTTTAAATCTGAATTTTTTTCGAGGGATTTAATTAACTCGTTTCATATACATAACAGTGAGAGCATATAAGTTAAATTTAAAAGATGCCCTGAGTTTTGTCAAATTTTGCTTGAATACTAATTATTAATTTGTAATAAAACAGTCTTCCACCATTGTGATTGTACCATAAGGTGATTGATAGATAATGATAATGTATATATAAATAGGCAAAGACAAAATAGTTCAGTATTATTTAAATAGCTGACCCGATCCCGCTTCGCTGGAATTTCTCAAATCTCAATTATTAAAAGTTAACTAACAGTTTTTGTTACTCGTTAGAAATTTTTTCATGCGATACTTGAAAAAAAAATTATTAATTTTATTTTTATTCGTTTTTATTAATTTTTATTAATTTTTAATTATTTTTATTAATTTTTATTAATTTTTAATAATTTTTAATAATTTTTAATAATTTTTATTATTTTTATTAATTTTTATTAGTTTTTAGTATTTTTATTAATTTTAATTAATTTTTATTAATTTAATTTTTATTAATTTTTATTAATTTTTATTAATTTTTATTAATTTTTATTAATTTTTATTAATTTTTATTAATTTTTATTAATTTTTATTAATTTTTATTAATTTTTATTAATTTTTATTAATTTTTATTAATTTTTATTAATTTTTATTAATTTTTATTAATTTTTATTAATTTTTATTAATTTTTATTAATTTTTATTAATTTTTATTAATTTTTATTAATTTTTATTAATTTTTATTAATTTTTATTAATTTTTATTAATTTTTATTAATTTTTATTAATTTTTATGAATTTTTATTAATTTTTATTAATTTTTATTAATTTTTATTAATTTTTATTAATTTTTATTAATTTTTATTAATTTTTATTAATTTTTATTAATTTTTATTAATTTTTATTAATTTTTATTAATTTTTATTAATTTTTATTAATTTTTATTAATTTTTATTAATTTTTATTAATTTTTATTAATTTTTATTAATTTTTATTAATTTTTATTAATTTTTATTAATTTTTATTAATTTTATTTATTTATATTTATTTAATTTTTATTTGTATATTTTTATTTATTTATTTATTTCCCCCTCCTTAAAATGTGAAAATACAAAAACCTTTAAATACGTCATTATATGATTAGCTACAATTCCAACTTTCATGTTCCCACCTTTAAAAAATCGATACTTTCATCCCTCTTCCCCCTTCTCCCTATTTTTTCACTTTCCCACTTTCTCCCTTCTCCCTATTTTTTCACTTTCCCACTTTTCCCCTTTCCCTATTTCCTCTATTTCCCCCTTTCCCCCTTTTTTGTTAAATAAATATTAAAATCAATACTGTTGGGTGTCCACACAAACACAAATTTGCAATAATTTTGAAACTAGCAAATTTCAACACAGCAGAAACAACTAAACCAAACTAAAAGCACAACAATTTTCACTAAACACTTCCTGCTTTGGGCTAAAGTTATCTCTGTTCACGCCGACCAGCGTCATGGCTACCATGTAAGTCATACGCAAGCGCACGTACTTTACGGTATAGTACTTTCAAAATAAATATACTCCATTCGACGCTGCATGGATGGCACAAAATTTTCTCGCGCATGTATTGTTTACTAGCGTTCCAGTAACAGTTACAGTTCAGTGATTCCACCGTTGTGTTAAACGGAGATTAAATGACATTGTTAATGTAAAAATGTCATTTTAAACTTCGTTTAACACAATGGTGGAATCGGTCCTAAGCACCTATCTTTTAGAGACCCCATGCCACATACTTTGATTTTCTTTTACTATACGGAGAATGGTCACACTGCGCAGCTTTCTGAGTGCCTTTTAAAAGGAGATAGAAAACTCCACCATTTTGATCTCTTATTACGTGTTGCCTACATCTTGGCGCAATATTTTTAATAAATGCGTTTTAATCATCCGCTTCTGATTCGGAATTGTCGGTTTTCTTGTTTTAATCTGACAGGTCAAAACGACTAAACTGACAATTCCGGAAGCAAAAGCGGATGATTAAAACGCACCTGATATTTTGCTTGCTGCTGTCAGTGTCATTGAATATTATTTTTGGAGTCACATGGGAAAATTTTCCAATGATCTCGAGAATCGAGCCACTGGCATGATTTCAATGTACGGTTTTTCCCATAGAAAAACTAAGTTTTTCCGATTAGATGTGACAACTGACAGCTATGGATTGCGGTAATTATTTAATTGTTATTTTGTGGGAAAACCAAAAAAAATGAGATTTTAAAAATATATGCGTACAAATTAAATAAAATTATAATCACAAATTTTAATCCAAAATTTCAACTGTTATTTATTTCAACGGTCAACCATAAATAAATCGGATCCAAACAAAAGGCGTTCAAGGCCGCATCGGCGAAAAAACTATTCCAACAAACCGGTGGAAAAAATACACACGTAATGGTATGCTTATTTTGAAACACCGGGGAAAATGGCCTTTTCCTATCTCCTCTATCTATTAGGCATTCCAAACTGAATGCCTACCAGTGGGCTTTGACGGGTTATGATATTGCAAAATTATGGCAACCCTGTAGCCATGGTGATTTGACAAGTCAATGAAATAGATAGTTACATAGATTGATTATCCATATTTTTCAAAATAAACATAAGCGTATGCATTGAAGTAAAAATGTAAGCAATTATTTTTTTTAAATATCTAAAGGCTAAAAATTGGTTTTAAAACACATTTTTGCTAAACCGATTCAAATTAATAAATATTTGCCAGGCAATATGACCGCTCGTAAACGACCAGCTTTGAGCAATCTATATAACTATATATGTATCATTGACCATGTTAATTAGGCATTCCAACGACCTGTCCAAATGGCCACCAGTGGGTAATGACAGTTTAGATATGGCAACCCTGTTGTCATGTTGTCATTAACAGGGTCAATGATACATATATATTTATATAGATTGCTCAAAGCTGGTCGTTTACGAGCGGCCATATTGCCTGGCAAATATTTATTAATTTGAATCGGTTTAGCAAAAATGTGTTTTAAAACCAATTTTTAGCCTTAAGATATTTAAAAAAATAATTGCTTGCATTTTTACTTCTTATTTTGAAAAATATGGATGATCAATCTGTGTAACTATATATTTCATTGACCTTATCAAATCACCAGGCTACAGGGTTGCCATAATTTTGCCATATCATAACCCGTCAAAACCCACTGGTAGCCATTCAGTTTGGAATGCCTAATAGGTCTTTTTCCTACGACCACTTAGGAAAGTGACACATATCACACTATATAGACCTATGGAAAGTGCCCTATATCACACGCGTATGAATAAGAATTTACTTTCCACCCAAGTGAGAATATGCTACTTTCCGCAGTAGCTGTCAGAAAATGTCAAACACATAATTTCTATTTTGATCTATGTAATGTCCATATTAATACTAAAATCGATATGATTGTTAAATTATTGTAAATTAGATCCTAGATATTTATCTTTAACAATTATTTTTAAAATAATTTTAAAATAACTAAGATATATTTGCTTTTTATTCTGGTTAAACACATAAGCGATTAGATCAATCAATTACCGTAAGGCCTGTTAGCTCAGTTGGTTAGAGCATCAACTTTGCAATTTGAGACCGTCCAACGACCGCGATCGAATCCTGGCTGTGCCAGAATTTTTTTTTTATTTTTTTTTATTTGTTTAGAAATTATGAAAATTTAATAAATACGATTATTGTTGATTATTTTTTTAAATACATTTTAATTATTATAATAATCTGGTTTTACATTTTTTGATGAAATTATTTTGTGGTCGTAGGAAAAATATTGTACATCACTTGTGTGAAAAATGTCACTTTCCACACTCGTAATGTAATATACTATTCCTTTGCATCGAAAGTGTAGCACTGGGCTACACCAATTCTGAAAATATCGTTCCATATATACAAATTGTATGGATGGAACGATATTTTCAGAAGTGACGTAGCTCAGTGCTACACTCATTGCGTTCGGTTTGCCACGTTCCTTTAACTCCTTTAACACTTTTAACTCCAAACGACTCTTCTAGCGTTCGGTTTAGTCCGATTAGTGACAGTTTAACACGCTTAAATGTCATTTAAAAGCACCCTAAAATTTGTCCCGCTCCAGCCCCTGACTGACCGAACTCGCCTACTTTCGATGCAAAGGAAAAGACCTATTGACAACAGGGTTGCCATATCTAAACTGTCATTACCCACTGGTAGCCATATGATTGCTGCGTTTGAGAATCCACATCGGATGCATTTTTTACATCTCGAGCGTTTTTTTATCCACATCGGACACATCTGTCCCATTACATTTACGTATACTGAATCACGTGATCAAAGATTTTTTACATCTCAGATGCATCCGATGTGGATTCTCAAACGCAGCATTGGAAAGGTCGTTGGTGTCTAATTGCGGTGCGGTGGGAGAAGCTTCTGCTCGCGGCAACACTGCATTTTATGTCATATGTCATGTCGCGAAACTTTGATAGATCTCGGATAAAAATAAGGTTGTGGTTCAAGTCTATAGCCTATTGTTGAAGGCCTAAACCTAAACAGGGAAGTCCAAGGCCTATTGTGACAAAAAATGAATTATCTTTAAAAAAAATTAACAAATAGACTCGTAGTCGTAGTTCGAAAATTTAGTTAAAACAAAATATAAAATGCGTTTTAGAGAAGGATATCCATAAAAAAACGTAAGTACTCAATTCTAAAGATAATTGCTTTAGGAAAAACATGAAAATGCATTTTGCAATTTATCCGAAAAAAAAAGTGTAGTATCATTTCCTTCACACTTTTTCGTTTCTATACGTTTCTCTCAAAACAACACATTCAGTTTTTAAATTCTTTTATAGAAATACAAAATTTAGAACTGTAAGTACTTAGGAAGTTAAAAGTTTTTCAGAATAGTATACTTAGTCATGTTTCATTTTTTACTTGCTGATCAGTGATCCGTAATTGCTCATTTTTTGATTAATTTTTTTAAACATTTTGTTTTGGTTATTTATTAAAAATATATATAAAGGCTTAACATGAAAGATGAAAAAAACATGTACATGTACAATGTTGAACGTAATAATATAAAATGATTTAATAATTATATTATGATATGATTATGAATAATTCATACTGTTGAAATATTATACCTACATTGATTATTACAATCTCTATTACATTTTAAAACTAGCCAACTACTAAGCTACTACTCTAGGGAATACATATTATTAGCATTTTGTTTTCAAATGTCTTATCATTTTAAATACTACTATTCTACATATTTTACAATTTATCTTTTAAATTACTAGGCAACTACAGTTTGGATTAACACAGTTTAAACAAGTCATAAATAAATAAGTATTGGGTATCTTCTCTATAATATATTCACTGATAAATAGGGTAATTTTCAGTAGATCTGTTTTCTAAATCTGTCTAAAATCCAAGTCATTTATCCATTTATTGTAATAAAAAACTAGATGTGCCACGTGTCTAGAAAATTGGTAACATCTTATTAATGGTAAGACTATTTGAATGTATATATTATGTCTAAAAAATTGATAAAAGTTTTGTTTATTATTAAACATGTTGAACTAAACAATATCATTGAAACACATTTGAGATCTTGCTTAAGAGGTACAAATAGGTACTTGTGTATTTAATTAATCAGATCAGTGGCGTAGGTGTCTAATGAGTTCGCATTCATTTGCGAGCAAATTTGTGGTTGGGAGACACACTGGCTTTGAAACCTACAAGACTATGTGAATTTATTTGCCTAGTTTTCTATAGGATTTGATGGATGCTGTATTAGCAGAAATTTAATTTCTGTTGGTATGTCATCCAGATTATAAAAAAATCGCCATGCGTTATCATTTCAATGATGGTGGGTGGGGTATTCCTCACCTGTAAGTCAAATAGCACCATCAATCATCTTTGTCACCCCGGAGCGCCACTGCAAATAATAATAATAGCTTTCCCTTTCCCCAGACAAGCTCAGCTTTTGGGGTTAAAATTCACTCGTTATGGGGTGAATTAAGGACAGTATTATTATTATTAATTCAAAAATAAAAGTTTGTGCAATGAGCCACCATCTTAGTGCATTAAGGGCAATCCACAGAGTTGGACAGTATATGTTTAAAATACAGGATGGCCTGACAAAAACAATAATAAACGTAATACCAAATAAGGCAGCAGATCACCTACAGAACCATATTTTAAGGCTATTTTTATACCCTAAGTATTCAAAAATTTTATGTTCTGCATTTTTTCACAAAAATCAAGCTGCTTTGCTAGCTTTGAATGAAGCAGACTGAGCACCTTTTTTTTTAGTCAACCACCCCATATTTTTAGGCTCTTGAAATATAAAATTATTCGACCTCGGTTTTTACTAAAAACAACCAACTATGCCACATTTTTAGGCTCTTGATATATTATAAAGCTTTTTGAAATAAAATAATTATATTTCTAGAAATACTGGGCGTTTTGCTAGGTTCGAATGAGGCCAGTAGAGCACCTTCGTTTTTAAAAGGTTTTTTCTAAAAACAATCGCACCACATTTTTAGGCTATTTTTGGCTCTTGAAATATTATAAAACTTATCGAATTTTTTTTGCTATTTTTTAAAAAAATGCTGTCCTCGTACGAAGCCGGCAGAGCACCTCGGGCTTTTCTTAGTTTTTTTTTTTTCTCTAAAAACTACCACACCATATTTTTAGGCTACTTTAAATTAATAGGGAGTGCTTTGCTAGAAAGATGCCAGCAGGGCACCTCGGTTTTTAACCTTTTTTTCTAAAAACAACTATGCCACATTTTTAGGCTCTAGATATATTATAAAACATTCTGAAAAAAAAAATATGGAGTACTTTGCTAACGTCTATCTAGGCCAGTCAAGCAACTCGTTTTTTTTTTTAATATATATTTAATCTATTTTTAGGCTTTCGAAAAGTAAAATTTCCAAAAAAAATAATAGTATTTTTTGGCTTTGTTTGCTTAAACAAACATTGGCTTTGTTTAACGTCCAGAAAAGCATTTGGTATTTTTTTAAAAAATAGCAAATTTTTTCAGAATGTTTTATAATATATCAAGAGCCTAAAAATGTGGTGTGGTGGTTTTTACAAAGAAACTTAATAAAATGAATGTGCTCTGCTGGTTTCGTTCGTTCGTAAAAGCGAGGAGCATACATTTTTTAAATAGGGTATTAAATAGCCTTAAAATATGGCATAGGTTTTAAGTCAAAGTTCTGTAGGTGCTCTGCTGCTTTCTTTGGTATTGGGCCCATTAAAATACATTTTTCTACACCCACATAGATATTAGCTTATCTACACACAGATTACAAAACGAAAAAGTATGCTATTGCCTTTAACTGAACGAATATATTTCATATCCATTCTAGGTAGTGAGAACACTGCAAAAAAATGAAATCTACCAATCACCGTTCATATATTGATCAACCGACTGCTATTATTTTTAAAACTTTTAATAAGTGACAATTCTGTCAAACTAATTGTCAGTATATTTTTTAGTTATTGAGATTAAATATACATTAAAATGGGTTATTCTTGTGTATAATTGATAAATAATAGTATTTCTGTTTTTATTTCGTCTATAATTATAAATAATTTGTTAATTTAAAAAAAACTATATGAAGACAATTTAATTACGAGTATTAAAGCAACAAAATTAAAAGACTAGGTGGTCGATTCTCGGATGAGGAAAAACTTTTTTTATTTTAAAAATTATTAAGTCATAAATTATTCTAAAATTAGTTATTTTGTTTTAATAACAATTTTTTTTTAATTTGTAAATTTTCGTTAGTGAGTCGTAGAAAAAATGTACTGTACAACTCGAGAGGATTGTCCATCATATCCACTCTTGTTAAACAAACTACTATTTCAATTATATTGGTTAAAGTGGCGAAGGGGAGGGAATGATGTATGAGAGCTGTAGATATGATAGAAATATGTCCTCCCCAGTTTCTGATAATGGTTTTGGTACTACCCTGTATATACTGACAATTAGTTTGACACAATTGTCACTAATTTAAAATTTAAAAAAAAGTTTAGTTAGTAGGTACTGTGATTAGTGGCTTTCACATTTTTTATTCTATGAAGTTATAGGTATCCCTTATAATACACATGCCTATGTAGATGTAGAAAGAACATGTATTTATTTTATCTACTGACTACTATATTTTCTGGTTATGATACCTAATAGGCAGATAATACTTTTTAGTATGTTTATTTGCTTTGGTAGGAATTCCACTGAAAAAAATATTGTTTTAAATTTAGACTTTATCATTATCCATCCCTCCCCGATATAAACTCTGCTTGCTGAGCTTCAGGGGTTCACTTATAAGGGAGATGTTTATTATTAATATGAATAAATGAAAGGTAATCTTGTAGTTTAGGGGACTTTAAATGCACATGTGCACAACACTATATCTGGAACGATTGGAATCATTACATAGTTGCCAGATTATACATATATTAATATTTGAAATCAAGAAAAAAGAAAATTTGAGTTATCAGAGGTGCTGTCAAACAAAACACAAAATGGCTGGCTAAAAGGAAAGGTAATCAACAGTTTACGTCGCCGCAGATAATTCATGCGCGATTCTGTTCACTTGAATAATAAAGTATAATTTCAAGGGCAAGCTAATTTTTTTGAAATTAATAAACATATTCTTTAATTTTAGATGTACCTTTTTTGTGAAATTACGCAAAAAGCGCGACGTAAACTGCAGCATTACTGACAAACTATAAAAAGAACAAAAGTGAAATGTAGATGAGATTCTTGCATTTTGTTCTGCAGCTCTACAGCACTTATGCACAAGCCGCCACTGCCCACAACAAATGATACTGCAGGTTTATGACAATAACAAACGGCAAAAGAAGAATGGAAATATGGCAACGTGGCAGGTGTAAAATTCAAATGCTAGACGTCGCCCTATAATAGGTACAAGATTACCGAATAAAATATTAAATAGGTGTATAAAAAAGTTAGATACGTTTATTGTAGACAGTAAACAAATGTATAGATTGCTGACATCTGTCACGACTACAGAGATTTTCAAAGTTCTGGCACAAAAGGAAATGTTTCCAGGGGCGGGAAATTTTAATGTTTTACATAGGTATAAGATAAATAAGAATTTTTAATCTAACAAAAAAATGATTTTAAAATTTTTCAATAATTGAAGTAAGGCTAGTAATTGTTGGTCTATTTTCACATGTCACATTACAATTTTTTTAAGGGTTGGTTCGCCAGTAGCCATAAATTACTAAATTACTGTCTCAGATGATTTACACACATTCTATACTTTCTTAGGATTTGTTTGTAGGTAGGTACTTATATTGAATATTTTAATTTAGGTTTTGGGGATATGCCGTACAATGAGCAGTGGTAGTAGCCAAATATGGCGTCGTCGAAGTGGTACCGCATGGATAAGAGCCGGGCTAGTGATCTTCATCCTAGTCTTCATATGGCTACAGCTGAACTTTCTGAGTTTTGCTGGCTCCTCCCAGCAGTATTCAGAACTGAACGATAGTAACGCGGCGATTCTGAGTATGGTGCCAGCAGTACTGCACAAATTTCTATCTCCAAGACCAAAAAACTTTACTATTACTTTCGCTAACGGCACTTACACAAACTTCTTTTATGTGAATACTCCAAATATATCTGAAATGAAACGCAACATAGCACAATACAATAGGCAACAAATTGTTCACAACGAAAATATTTTTGAACCTCTCCAGAACGATTCCATAGTTATCGTTGTCCAAATTCACGACAGAATCACCTATTTACGCCATCTTATTGTCAGCTTAGCACAGGCACCAGGTATTTCTCAAACACTTCTTGTTTTTTCTCATGACTATTATGATGAGGAAATGAACAGTCTAGTCCAAAGCATTGATTTTTGCAAAGTGATACAAATATTTTATCCGTATTCTATTCAAACTCATCCCAATGAATTCCCAGGCGAAGATCCAGGAGACTGTCCCAGGGATATGAAAAAAGACCAGTAAGAGTATTTCTTTTTTTATTAAATCAACATGTTTAAACCATTTTTGTTTTTATTATTTTTAACACGTTTATAAGTATTACGAAAACTAGTTATGGAATAACAATTCGAAAATTGCAGGTAAAATGTCTGTGGACTAGAAAAATATTAAAGAAGTTTAACCTTTATAGGCATGATGTTCATACTTTTTTAAAAATCGGATTTAGCTGTAAATGCTTCACATCATTTGACAGTTAATTTTTATAATTTAATGCTTGTCATTTAAAAAATCTCTAAATTGAGTAAGAGAGAATGAACAGAGAACCTTAACCTCTCAACTCTACTCAGACTCGTTTGAGAGTTGCTTCCGTGTGTCCTCTTTTTTTACCTCTTTTTTTTGAAGGACGTGTGCAGGGATTTTCTCGAACCTTATCTTTGATCATCTGGCACAATAAGTCATCCATTCCTACCCTACGGTTCTAACCTTTGTCCTCTTTTGTCCTACAAGCGATAACCCCAAATTGTGTGTCCGTATTAGCTACAGAAGCTTTTCTAGAGTCTGTCCTTGACTTCCGAGGAGAAAGAGTAACAGTATATGCTTCCAACTCAACTTCTCTTTAGTTGCTCAATTGTGGGATTTTTGTCCCGAGTCATTCTGCTGACTAGACTTTCACAGTCGATTAGGACCATCGTTCTTCTTCTACTATGGCTTCTCCAAAAGGGTCTGACCGTCTGCACCGAGGATAGTCTCAGGGAACACCTTAGATGGCGTTTGTCCCTTCCCGCCTTCTTTTAAGATCTTTGGCAATGTTTTTGATCCTCTTTCCCTGGAATTTGCGCTCAATGACTTCCTTTTTTGCTTTCTCCAGTCTCAAGCGATGAGCAACGTATCGATTATACCATCTGGCCCCTGCCCCATTTCAGTGAGTCATACATTCCACCAGGTTGTCCTAGCTGAGGTAGGGGAGGTAGACACCTTAATTTAGTTCAAAGGTGCAATTTTAATTCCTTTATTTCCTTCGTGGTAATTTTATTTTACTTGTTAGGTATTTACTAGATTTTTGCACTTTTTTATCACATTGTATTTCTAATAATAACTTACAATTAGATTTGACAAAAATATAATGCAAATTAACTGGTTTCTTATCTACCTGTAAAAAATGACTTCATTGTTATTTCCAAGCTAAACATGTAAATTAACATTAAAGGTCAAAAGTAGGACGATTGTTGGCATAGTTTTTCATAAATTTAAAAAACGCGAAACGAAATGTTGTAAATGCACTTCAGCTTTTGTCAAGGAGCCAAAATATTTTTTAAATTGTTCATATCCACCTACATTCGCCATTTTAACAGGCAAGTCATCTCACAAATGTTATAACAGATTTTGTGTCTTCAAGAATCGATCGTCTTATATTTTGAAGTGGTCTAAAAATAATTTAATTTTTTTTTAAGATTGATTCTTTGCCAAGTAATGAGCAAATAAAATCTTAGCTACAGATATAATGTAGACATATCATTTAACTACAATACCCGTATCCCATGTGACTATATGTCATCAGTTTGCTAAAATTGACATTAAAAACTCCAGTAGTAACTCTAAAACAATGCCACACTGCCTATTTGACAGAACTGATTCATAATTTGTCATACAAGTCACTAAGAACGGCTATTTTCAATAAAAAAAAAAAACCAGATTATGTGGGATACGGGTTAATGCTCTTTATATATTGCAAACAGAAAATGTTCATTAAAATTTGTAGGTACTTATTCATCATTGGGTATTTCAATTTGTCTCACTTAATTTCAGTTGTTTTATACTCTTATTAACAAATTAGTATGTCAAATTTTTATTCGTTTGTTATGCTACTTTAATACTTAGTTATTTATACAGTTAAAGTGGTTTTATTACATTATTCCCTAAAATCAGCTTTGTTCATGATATCTAAATGTTCTATAATAAATTAGTGTAGGGAAAACTAACTAAGCTTTATTTTTTAGAGCTTTATTAAAAAAATGCAATAATGCGCTCTATCCCGACGTATACGGTCACTATCGTGAAGCAAAATTTACACAAACAAAGCACCATTGGTGGTGGAAAGCGAACAGGGTTTTTAACCAACTAGAAGTAACCAGAAATCACACAGGTCTCGTAGTGTTGCTGGAAGAGGACCATTATGTGGCTGAAGATTTCATCCACATGTTAAGATTAATGGAAAGAACGTATAAGGAATCCTGTAGACATTGCAATGTTTTATCTCTGGGAACATATTTAAAGACATATAATTATTATGCAGATTCTAAAAAGGTACTTGGTCATAATGTTCACATTACTTAATTATTGACTAAATATTAACATCTTAATTTATTTCGATTCAGTAGGTATCTGAATAAATATAAAAGTTAGGCGGTGCCGGTTGAATGTTTAAAATGTTATGTAATTCTTTTTTGCAGGACTATAGTTAATTTTATCGTTTTTTATTAGATACCTCAATAATAACAAAGCACTTATAAAATAATTAATCTAGAAACTCTGGTGTTAAATGAAAGAAAATCAATACACAGGTTTGGTAGAATGAATACTAAACAAACAAAATACCTTACCTCAAAATTTCTGTTCGACAGGTCTGGTAATGAGTAGGTGGATAACCACAAAATAATAAACTCACTTAGCACAGATAAGAGGACATTGAATTAGTGAGTTTATGCTAAGGAGACTAGTGTCTATCTACCAACAATGTCATTACTTCCAGACTTTATTCATAATAAAATCAAAAATCTATATTTTTAAACCGAATTTACGAATTTGTTACTGTCCGTATTTAAATTCCAGCGATATAATTGAACTTCGTAAGGTATTGTAGGTCATCCGGTAAGAATATTTCACAGATTTCTCTCCTGGTAAGCTTCCTATAGATTTTTTGAAACCTAGCATGTGACAACAACGCGAACCTAGACAAAGACAACTGGACAAAGGACGACAACACTGCACACTGTTAGCTCGACTGGCCACCAAATACAGGGAACCAGTCGAGCACGAGCACTCACTGTGCAGCTGACAAAGACAGAGAGCACAATCTGGAAATGAGAATATATGAATTGATCAATGCATTAGAGTTGAAAGCCTTCTGTCAGCTTTTTAAATTACGAATACACCTCAAACTTCACTGCCCACTCGAAGGTATAATGTGCAAATCAAATGCTATTGATATTGTGAACCGTGTAGCGAAGGAAGACGCAATGGGAGGAAGGATGGGTTAAGCAGGTTCTGATCCAGTGTAACAGGATGGAAACTTACTCAACTCGGGCCAGTCACGGTGTGTATGTGAACTTCCATTTATGTTCAAGGACCATTTATGTTCACCTGAGTCAGACGCAGTTGAGTTCGGTTTATAAATATATGAACCCAAATACTTCACCCACCCAACAACCCATTGCCTAGGGTTCAAAATACTTATGAGATACTTTTGTTTCAGGTGGAAATTTCTCCTTGGATAAGTAGTAAACACAATATGGGAATGGCTTTCAACAGATCAACATGGATGCAAATCGTAGAGTGTGCAGCGTATTTTTGTAAATATGATGATTACAACTGGGATTGGTCACTGCAACACGTTTCCCAAAATTGTTTAAGGCAAAAGTTGCATACCATGGTAGCCAGGGCTCCTAGGGTATTTCATATTGGTGAATGGTAAGGACGAACATTTAAAATATTTTTCTCTGGGAGTAAATTTTTTATTTGTTTTTTTAGTGGTGTCCATCATAAGAAAAACAACTGTAAGTCCACATCGATGATATCTAAGGTCCAACAAGTTCTTAAAACAGCAAAAAGACATTTGTATCCAGATTACTTGATATTAACTTATTCAACCGTTTTGAAAAAAACTAAACTACGTAAGGGAAATGGGGGATGGGGGGATAGACGAGACCATAAGCTGTGTATTGGTATGACTATAGGAGGATAGATGTTTTATTTTTGTTATGACTTAGTTAATAAGTGTTAAATAATTTATTGTTATTTTATTTTATATTTGTATTTATTCGTATCGAATTTTTGGATATTATACTACTGTTTTTGTTGTCAGTAACCCAGTGTATACTAAGATGTTTGTACTTGTGTAAAATATACAATGATAAAATCTCTTAAAAGCAATTTTAATGTTTTGAATTTTTGAACAGGCAAATTTATCGATAAACAATGAAAATTAAAACAAAGTTTAGACCATATAATCTACCTGCATTTCTATTGTATATTCTATTTCTCTTAACAAATTCTAGATCCGGAAATTTTAAATTTTTGTGGTAATAATCCAGAATAGAGAACTTGAAAGTTCATTATATTTTTTATTTATTTACAGGAAAACCCTATTTTACAATAAGTAATTTTGTCTATGGTATCTAACATAAAAAATTTAATTAGCTCTGGTTCCGCTATTAATTTTATGACCAATTTTTAATAAAATAGGAGAATATATTAACCCAGACAAAAGCTTGAATAAGAAGCATAGATCTAATTCCTAGAAGGAAAAAAGTTTGTTCCACCGTTTTTTTGGATGTGGCTCAGGCTTTCGACAAAATATGGCATGATCCCAATAAACATTTTTGATTGTATAGTAGTTAACGTTACTTTTACAGCACTTTACTTATAAAACTTATAGTTATATATTTGGCAACCGTAACATTTCTCTTGCTGCTATAAACCTCTTAAAGAGCTTAAATGGGGCATTTATAAAAGTTGCGAACACCTTTGTTTAGTAACGCTAATAACTTAAAGTTGTATAAGTAACAGTAGCAGAAACATTGTGGAAACTACTAAATAACTTACAAATAGATTGGTTTAAACACCTATAGTAACATAATATAGCGTTGTACATTTTTAGGCAACCTTTATATAACTTGCCTATAATAGATTTGGTAATATTTCCGTTACCAGAGTTTCGTTACTTTAACATTGACATTTCTCATTCTGTCATTTGTCAAAACCTAGATACTCTTCTCTCTCAGATACACTTATTTATTTTTAATCCTTCTCCATTCCAATAATAAAATAAAATTTTATGTTCTGGTCAGGCATCATCGATAGAAACAAAAATGGAGAATCACAATAAAATTAAAAAACCTATGTTCTATTATTGTTGGACTTTACTAACTGTTGGGTGACTTAAAATTTTGGTGGGAATCGTATTTCATTGTGAAAGTTAATGAGATACTTCGAAGAAACGTAAGGGCCACTATAATTTCCACTAATAATTATTTTTAGTTTATATTTTTACTTTAAATATATGAACCAAATTTAATTTCACAGCTTATTACTAACATTTACTATTCCGATATTTCATCAGAACCAAAACATGTTTATTTAAGAATTATTTAAAAAATAAATAAACTATTAAGTGTTTGTATGTATGGTTCGTTTCCAGTATTTTTAAGATTTCTGTAAACAAGTATGGCGGAATCACGAGTAACCTTATATAACTTAAGACGTCATTAATATCACTAAAAGTAATATTATATAACTGGTAGTAACAATATATATCTCATAGTTGCAATATAAAACTTAACAACCTATAAAATTCCTTTATATAATTTGTAGTAACACTTGTTACCATAATGAAACCAAAACGGCAATTCATTTCTTTCAAACGTGATTTAAAAATTAACAATTAACCTCCGTCCACGAGCATCCATAACCTGAAATTATTAAATTATCTCCACTATGTCTTTCAAAATAGTGCAAACTAAAGAACTAAGGGGCCTCTACTTAAAATTGTCCCATCAGCTTGGGAAAAGGATTAGCCCAATCGGATTAGTATTTTAGATTCTGAAAAATTCGAAGCAGCAATTTTCCTTCGGAATTCGTTGGAGGGGGTCTCTGGTAGTCTAAATTCAAAAAGTTGGGATTCCAAAGTTGTCGTTACCTCCGCCATCTTGATTTAAAGGGTTATTTTTTGTATCTTGAATAACTCATTTATTTTCAATTTTACACGGAAAATAGTTTTTACAAAAGTTATTTAAAATTAAATTTCCTACAATTCTGCTTTTTTTTGTACGATCGATTTTTTTCGATTTATACCCGAAAAGAGGGGGTGAATTTTTGGTTATAGAATAACTCGTTTATTTTCAATTTTACGGGAAAAATTGTTATAAACAAAGTTGTTTAAAATTCAATTTCCTACAATTCTGTTTTTTTTTGTACGATCGATTTTTTTGTATTTATCCCTGAGAAGAGTGGGGGTGAACCTAAGTATTGTATTGTCACGTTTATTATTGATGTTGTACCATTATTTTTTCTGTTTGTTTTTTTTTGCTGATTTTCAAAAATGTTTTCCCCCACTCTTTTCAGGGATAAATACAAAAAAATCAATCGTACAAAAAAAAAACAGAATTGTAGGAAATTTAATTTTAAACAACTTTGTTTATAACAATTTTTCTCGTAAAATTGAAACTAAACGAGTTATTCTATAAACAAAAATTCACCCCCTCTTTTCGGGTATAAATCGAAAAAAATTGATCGTACAAAAAAAGCAGAATTGTAGGAAATTTAATTTTAAACAACTTTGTTTATAACAATTTTTCTCGTAAAATTGAAAATAAACGAGTTATTCTATAACCAAAAATTCACCCCCTCTTTTCGGGTATAAATCGAAAAAAATCGATCGTACAAAAAAAGCAGAATTGTAGGAAATTTAATTTTAAACAACTTTGTTTATAACAATTTTTCTCGTAAAATTGAATATAAACGAGTTATTCTATAACCAAAAATTCACCCCCTCTTCTCGGGTATAAATCAAAAAAAATCGATTGTACAAAAAAAAGCAGAATTGTAGGAAATTTAATTTTAAATAACTTTTGTAAAAACTATTTTCCGTGTAAAATTGAAAATAAATGAGTTATTCAAGATACAAAAAATAACCCTTTAAATCAAGCTGGCGGAGGTAACGACAACTTTGGAATCCCAACTTTTTGAATTTAGACTACCAGAGACCCCCTCCAACGAATTCCGAAGGAAAATTGCTGCTTCCAATTTTTCAGAATTTCAAGCCTGTTCTTCACCTAATCCGATTGGGCTAGATGGCACTCTTATTTATTGGCCTCCTGCCAAAAAAAAAATAACAAATACAATTACAAATGAGATATATAGTTATATTAGAATAATTTGTATTACTGATGGTTGCAAAGTTTTATAAAAGAGGCGATATAATAACCAATAGTTTTATAAGAAATATAGTCAACACCACTTCCTACCAGTTTTTATAAAGGTAATTTACGACACCATTAAAAAACTCAAGGTGTTTTAGTTATATAACTAGAGTTACGGTAACCCATATGTCACCTTTTTATGAAACCACTAGTAACCGTTACTTAAAGTTTTATAAAATGGTGATGAAAATAGTTCTGTTACTTTGTTATACATCCACAACTACTAGTAATGTTATAAAACCTGGTTACCAAAAAATACAGGTTATACAACTCCGAAACTCTCTTATATAAATTTGTTACTATTATATATCTATTATAAAAATTTGGGTTACGGTAAATGTTTATTGGGGAAGGCTCGATTCAAAAACAACATGTTCCTGCCACGTGTGGAGGGTGGGTTAACGCACGACACAGGCCTCACTAGGCCCAATGTCAATCCTCCTAAGTAGATAGGCACCTCCTAGCTCGTGAGCCAGCCTACAGATTTACTGTAGTTGACAACGTCGCTAAGAGGTGCTTCTCTTATATCAACTGGTGTTAGCCAATTCTCGCCGAACACAAATCTTCAAATAAATGAGAGCGTCGGGCAATCGTAGAGGATATGCTCGATGGTCTCATCTTGTTCGCATCCCCTGCAGAATTCGGATTCTGCCAGCCCCATGATATGGAATGCCTGTCGTCAGAATGCCTGTGATCAGGTGTAGATTATGTCTAGTCATAGTCAAGTATTTGTTTGCTGCAGTGTTGTCAGGACAACTTAAAAGATCCCTGGCAAGTCTTCAGCTTCTTGTTTCATTCCATTTTTCCTTGGATTTCACAAGGAAATGTTCTTTAATTAAGTCTGTCTTTACCGATTTTGTCATGCCAATAGAAGGGCCAGGTCCAAAAAGTATTTGGTTGGCTGTCTTCTTGGCAAGTGAATAAGCAAACTTTCGATGTGGCGTGACCTTTGATTCATTTTAAGTTGACCACATTGTTGATTGATACTTTGGCCAAAGCTTCGTAGTACTAACCCTGAATAAATTCGTGGTCTGTCCAGGGTGAGTAGTGCTTGTCTGCTATCTGTATAGATGAGCATGTTTCTTCCAGTGATATTATTTCTGGTGATTTCTTTTGCTGCTATGAGAATCCCCATGAGCTCGGTTTGAACTACACTGGCACTTTCAAAGAAACCCTAGAATGTACCGGTTTTATGAATGCGAGCAGGGCGGTCGCGCAGAGTATCACGGTAAACGGTAAGGGATTACTAAATTTAAAATAGTATTTTCTGCACAGCCTTGTTGTTTTTTATGAAGTCTTAAAATTCTTCACAATTCTCTTAAAAATTTAAATATATTAATAGCTTTGAGCGAAATAGTTATGTGGAGCACCAATTTCTTTTTAACGCAAAAAGATTTGGAGTATTTTTAAAGTAGTTTAAAACAACTTCCCATTTTGTCCTTATATTTGGTTTTAATTTTCAGTCTCCAACAGTCTGAATTCTGCATCACCTCAACTAATAACATTAAAACCGCAAAATAACCAAAATAGTTTAGATAAGGTAATCTTTAAACGCTGGTTTTAGCCGCAAAAATTGCTTGGTTTGTTCACAAAAACAGCGCTGGGACTGGGTTTCATTTCTGCTGCTTCGAATAAGTTAATCTTGAAAAATATTAATTATATAGTTTTTAAAAAGGCCAGTTGGCAACCCTACTGGCACTACTGCTCACAGCCCATTTTAATTTTAAGGATCTGGAGTATATTCCACATATCCTGAGCCTTTGGATTGATAGACAATGAATGGTCCTTGCACCATTGTTCTATAATTTTGAGAGCTACTTGCATTCTTTCGCAGAGTATGTTCTCAAAATTCCCTGTTTGCAGAATGACCAGGTCATCTACATACGCTATTATGTAGTGACTCATTAATGAGACTGTTGTTTAGTGAGT